AGAGGGCCCCAAGAAGCAATCATCGTCCAAATCCATGAGACTATTTTTCAATCTGAACAACGTCCAGGACGGCTCACGACGCCCCGAAGATCGCCCCAAGATGCCCCCAAGACGGGCGAAGAGGATCCCAAGACAGCCCAAGAGGCGCCCAAGATGGCCCAAGAGAGCGCCAACGCCGCTGTAGCTGTCGAGCGCCTCCTCCTCCTCCTCCTCCTCCTTCTCCTCCTCCTCGTCCTCCCCTTCCTCCTCCGCCTCCTCCTCCTGCCCTTCCTCCTCCTCCTCCTCCTCCTCCTCCTCCTCCTCCTCCTCCTCCTCCTCCTCCTCCTCCGGCGCGTAGATACCAAAAGCCCCCCCGACTCCGCCGACCCTGAAGTGCAGAAGGAAGCGTACTCGAAGAGTGCAGCCACTGCGCCCCTCTGCCACGGCCAGAAGCACGGACAGGACGCTACGAAGCCAAGGCGGCCGTCAGCTCTCCATCAACACCCGGCGGTGTTCCGCCCTGCCTCGCCCTTTGCCGGATCCCCACAACAGAGGGGCCGGCGATGGGGCCCCCGCGGGGGCGGCCGCGGAGCCGGCGGAGCCCGATGGGAGGGAGACGAGGTGCTTTGAAAGAAGTTGGCGAGGACGCAGAGTGTGCGGGCAATACTCGTATCCACATCCAGAGCGTCTTGGACTTTTTGGGAAGGGGTGCCGCACGGCCGAGGCGCACTGGATATGGATAAGAACCGAGCCTTCTGGGGCCAGATGTTCATCCAGATCCAGTGCGCATCCGGTTTCCGGGGAAGAGAGTCCAAGACTCCAAGACGCTCTGGATGTGGATCCAACTAGTGCCCGCAGAGCGGGCAGGCCGGCATCTGCAAGAGGGGCGGCAGAGAGCGGCTGTGGCCAGGTCCAGCTTCGCGGCAGGATGCGCCCCGACGCACAGCAGGCGCGCGCAGCGGCACCGCGGTTCACGCGAGGGCGGGCAGGGAGGAGGGGCACGCGCGAGGAGGTGAAAAGGGGACAGGGGGCGCACTGCCCGTTGTCGGCACGCGCAGGCGAGCGCAGCAGAAGCAGCGTTGAGACCCGCGGGCCGTTGCGGTCATATCTGGATGCGCACAAAGGACGCGGGATCAACGGGCACGATGGATGAGGAGCGCCAGGAAGCGGCTGTCCCGGCATCGGTTGGCTATCTCGTGCAAATTGTTGCGAGCTCCGTTCACCTCCGCTGCGTGGTCTCCAGCCCGCGCTGCGGACCCCAGGTTCTGGTCACTCCATTCCTGGACGAGGCCGTGCAGGACGACTGTGCCGCAGTCAGGGGCTGCTGCGCTCTTGGAGGCGCTCGTGCAGCCCTGGGAATGCCCTGGGCCTTCCTCCTGCTGCTAAAAAAAGCCATGAACATAAACTTGTGGCGCTCCGCGCGGGTTTCTTGGATCTGCGCTGGACTCCCCTCCGCGGCGCGCGGAGCGCGCCAGTCGCGGCGCCAGAGGCGGCGCCGGAGGCGCCGCCAGGGGGTGTCCAGTGCGGATGCAAGAAATCCGCGCGGAGCGCCAAAAGTTATTATGTTGATGCCGGTATTTCTTCTTCGAGCTGCGACGCGCCCACCTCTGTCAGCGCTGCGAGCGGCAGCGTGCTGTGCCTCATAGGCGCTGCGGGAGCTGCCGTCCGCAAGGTCGTCCTTTGCCTGCGGCAAGGTCCGTCCCGTCATTCCAATAGGCCTATCACGAAATGTTCTGAGAACCCAGAAATGTTCTAACAACGAAACAATGTTCTTATAACACAAGCCCGATGTGTTAATTGAAACAAGACGGTCCCAACCAGAAATGTTATTAAACAAATTCGTACTAGCCACAAGGACGTTCCTACAACATTATTTGGTGGGCCTATAGGCGAGCCAGGACGCTTCGCCACTGCTTGAAAGGCAGGCTTCCCGCGCGCGGGCCCCGGCAGCGCCTGCCGCCGCGGCTGCCCCCCAGGAGCTCTCGCCAGAACGGACCCCTCGAAGGCGCACCACCGGCGGCAAAGGCAACTTCTCCCTTATATGGGAGCTCTCGCCGGTACCGGCCCCAGAGGCGCACTTTTTGGGTGTGTTTTGAATATGTTTGGAGTATTATCTGTTTTCCTCCAAAATCTGCATGTAGGGGGACGTGCCCGACCTAACACAAAAGGGCGGCGGCTGCTCCCCTATCTAGGAGCTCTCGCCGGTACTGGCCCCGCGGGCGTCCCCGTGGCGGTCGCAGCACCGTCCGCTCCCCCAGACGCGCCCCGTGGCCGTCGGCCGCCATGGCGGGGTATTCCATGCAGCGGCTGGGGCACTCCGCGTGGTATAGAGGCCTCCTAGATGGGGTCAGAGTAGATGGGGTCGGATGACCGCGCACATCGCCGAAACATCGGCGATGCATCGGCGATGCATCGGTGATGCACCGGCGATGCATCGGTTATGCACCGGCGATGCATCGGCGCCGTCGCCGTGAAGAGAATCGGGCTCGGCATCGAGCCGCATCGCGGATGCATCGGCGATTCCGAGCGATCCTCCGACCCCATCTACTCCGACACCATCTGGGAGGCTTAGACAGTAGCTGGGAACTCCGCTGTTTCCTGCTTCCGGCGCTGGCGGCGCCGCAGGCGCTGGCGTTGACCAGCACCTTGGTGGGCCGTGCGGCGCGGGGCGCCTGCCCTGGGCGGGGCGAGCTCCGGGGCGCGCCTGTGGAGGGCATTCGCCCTGGCGCTTGGCAGCGGCATCGGCGCGAGGGGTTCGGCTGCCGTGCGGGCCGGGGACCGAGGTCATCAACCAGTCTTTGGCCGTGAGCGCGGCGATGCCCTCGCCCTTGCGCGCTGCGCAGGCCCGCACGGCGCCCCGCCGCGGCCCCGGGATCGCCAGCCCCAAGAGGATGAGCACACTGTGGGTCCCCACGGCGCGCTCCGTGCACTTCGTGGGTCGGCCTCGGACGGCGCGGAGCACTGCTGGCAGTCTCGCAGCTCAGCGTGCATGGTGTCGGGCGCCGTGGCTCGCGTAGCACTGGAGACCCAGACCCCCGACGTAATGATTTGTTTTGTTTTCATTACGTCGACCCCCTGAGGCCCCGACCCTTTCCCCATGACCGGCTTTGCATCCCGAGTCGTTTTCTGACGCTCCCGAGGCCCAGTGAGGGCCCCCGGAGGCCGAAAATTAAGGAAAACCTCCCGTCATGTTTTTTCATTACTCGAGGGGTCTGGGGAGGAGGAGGTACAGTAGCTCTTCCTCGACTGCTCGCCCCGTCCAAGGCCGGGGCCCGCGCGCCCCGAAGACGCCGCGTGGGCGAGCGCCTCGCGGCGGGGAGCCGCCCGGCAGGGGCGCCGGGGGCCGCAGCTCGGGGGCCGCCCTGGCCGCCTCCCGCGTGGGGAGGGAGGCGGAGGAGGAGGAGGAGGAGGAGGAGGAGGAGGAGGAGAGGAGGAGGAGGAGGAGGAGGAGGAGGAGAGGAGGAGGAGGGGGAGGGGGTCTGGGGAGGGGACTCAGGACTCTTCTTTGCTCGAGGGGGCTGGGGAGGGGCCCTGCGCCTGGGGCCGCGGCGCCGCGGCCTGGCTGGCCTGCCGTCCCCCCCCCCCCGCCCCCCCCCCCCCTGTAGGACACCCCCGCCCGTGTGGCGAGGGCCGGACGGGGAGGCCCCCCGCCCCCGGGAGGGGAACGGCTCCTTGGCCAAAGCTCCCTCTCTCCCTCCCTCTCCCTCTCTCCTCCTCCCTCCTCCTCCTCCTCCTCCTCCTCCCCTCCTCCTCTTCCCCTCCTCCTCTCCGCCTCGCCTCCTCCGCCCCCTCGTCCTCCTCCCCTCCTCCCCTCCTCCTCCTCCTCCTCCTCCTCCTCCTCCTCCTGCTCCTCCGCCTCCTGCTCCTCCTGCTCCTCCTCCATCCTACCCCTCTTGGGGTACGACGTCTCGTCCAGCCATTTATTCCACTGCGTTCCCCTCCGCATCCCCGATCAGGGCAACTCGTCTTGGTCTCGTTTCTGGATGGGCTGGTAGGGTTACGCGAAGCGTCTAGGAAACAATGGCCCCAGCCATGATATCCACGCCTGCGAAGACGGACCGCGCGGTGACCTCGACATCTCGAGAGACCTCACCGCGCGGTCCATCAGCGCATGGTCCTTGGTCTTCGAAGGCCCAGGTCGCCCAAACGTCCTCGGAAAACGACGCCAGAAATTACCAGAACCGTGCGGTGGCCGCGAGACCCCAACGACTCGCCACGCAGCGCGGTCACTACATCGCCTGGGAGCCTCCCGCCAGTCCTCACCGCTCTCTCCCAGATCCCCGACGTCATGATCTTTTCTCAACGTCGACCCCCAAAGGTCTCGACCCCGTCCCCGAGACCGGCTCTTCATCCCGAGCCGGTCTTTCACGGTCCCGAGGCCCAGTAAGGGCCCCCCCGACCCACACCCCCAACGTAATGGTGCTTTTTATCACGTCGACCCCAAAAGGTCCCGACCCTTTCCCCATGACCGGCCTTGCATCCCGAGTCGTTTTTTGACGCTCCCGAGGCCCGGTGAGGGCCCCCGGAGGCCGAATACCAAGAAAAACCTCCCGTCATGATTTCTTCATCGCTCGATGGGGTCTGGGGAGGCCGAACATCGCGACACACCTTCCGCTGTCGTCTTGCCACGACTCGAGGGGGTCCGGGCTCGGTCGCCCCCGCCCCGCCATCCCCCCCGTGGGCGCGCTCCTGGCAGGGCGGCTCCGAGGCCAGCGGGTCCAGCGCCGCGGCGGCCCCGGCGGGCCTCCAGGCCGCGGGGGATCCGCCTGCCGGGGGGGTCCTCCTCCTCCTCCTCCTCCTCCTCCTTCTCCTCCTCCTCCTCCTCCTCCTCCTCCTCCCCCTCCTCCTCCTCCTCTCCTCCTCCTCCTCTCCTCCTCCTCCTCCTCCTCCTCCTCCTCCTCCTCCCCTCCTCCTCCTCCTCCTCCTCCTCCTCCTCCTCCTCCTCCTCCGCCTCCCCCAAACTCCTCCTCCTCCCCCTCCTCCTCGCCCTCCTCCTCCTCCTTCTCCTCCTGGCCGCGCCGCCCGCGCGGGGGTGCGCCGAGTGGGGGAGGCGCTGCAGCGCCGCTTCGAGGGCATTCTCCTTCTCACTTCCCCCCCCTCGCGCGCCGCCGAGTGTGGTTTTCGGGTCAGAACTCGGGTCGTACAACGGCCGATCGGGACGATCTGGGCACCCCAGGAACGCCCTCGGCGAGGCGCAGCTGCTGGCGAGCACCTCGCGGCTGGAAAACCGCCGAGAAACGACGCGAACGTCCGAAAACCTCGATACTCGAACCTCAAAACGTCCGCCCACGTCCTTCTCACTCCCCCCCTTCGCTCGCACCAGGGAACGTGTTGGCCATATCCACGCCCTCGCGGCCTGGCTTCCGCGGCGCGGCCCCGTGGACGTGCGATCGCACGGCCATGCGCTCCGCGCGGGGCACGCGCGACAACCGCGCCCCGCGTCCACGGGATCGCGGCCCAGAGGCATGGCCCACGAGGCTTGGCGGCGCGCGCAAGGGGGTGGAGGGAGGGGGGAGGGCTTCTTGGAAGGAGGCCGCTTCTTTGAAGGCGCCAGCCCTACATGGACAGATCAGGCCCGAGCCTTCTAAGAAGCAGGGGTGCTTCTAAGCAACCCTCCCCCCTCCACCCGCCCCCCCTCTGCGCGTGACATTGATGGGCCTGTTTTCCACCACCACCACCACCACCACCACCACCACCACCACCACCACCATAAGTTGGATGGGGGAAGGAGGAGGAGGAGGAGGAGGAGGAGGAGGAGGAGGAGGAGGAGGAGGACGAGGAGGAGGCGGAGGAGGAGGACCCGCATCCACCTCCAACTTATGGTGGTGGTGGTGGTGGTGGTGGTGGTGGTGGTGGTGGTGGTGGTGGTGGTGGTGGACAACAGGCCTATTAAGCATGGCCCACGAGGCCGCGGCCCGGGGGGCGAGCGGGAGGCATCGGCGGGGGGGTGCGCAGCCACGGCAGGGGGGGGCGCCGGCATCGGCGGGGGGGAGGCGCGGGCCCGGGAAGGGCGCGGCATAGCCGAGAGGTGGGCCGTGTACGGGCGCGCGGCGGCGGAGCCGCGCGCTCCTGCCTGGGCGGGGTGGGCCCGCGAGCCCTCGGCCATGACCCGGCGGCGCCCCTGAGCCGATGCACATCGGCGATGGCCGGGCGAGGCCCCTGAGCTCAGGTCGGGCATGTCCCCCTACAGGCGGATTTTGGGCGAGAGATAAGAACCTAGCAAACACATGTTATGAACAAAATCGTCCCCAGGCTATGTTTGGACTCTGTTTGAACATTCGTCCTGTAGAGGGACACGCCCGACTTCACCCTGAGCCTGTCCCCCCCTGGGGTTGCCCCTGCGGCTGGGCGGGGGGCCGGGATCAGGAATCGAGGTTTGGAAGACAAGTCTGCATGGCCGATGCTGATTCTGGGGACCTGCCTGGAGCCACTGGCTCCACTAGTGTTGGGTCGGGCATGTCCTCCAACTTGCGGATTTTGGACGAAACATAAAAAAAGCCAAGCCATATCCAAGCAACGCGCAAAAATATACTAAACATCTTCCCCAGACTATTTTTCAATAGCATGTTTGAAGATTCCTCCTGTAGAGGGACATGCCCGACTTAACACTAGTGCATGTAAACGGCGTCGAATGTCCGTCGACTTCAGTGGAACTTGAGTCAACTCTGAGTCGAACCTGTAAATTCTACGCGCTGCAGTCGATCTCCTACTCGAGTGACGGTTTTGCCAGCCCTTGTCGTGTTCGGGACCGCCCCGTCGCCGCGGCCCGATTCGCCTCGAGACTGGCCAAAGCGCCCCAAAAGAGGTCCAGGGGTTCAGGTTCTGGGGAAACCATGCGGTTCTGATACTGCTACTCCTTGGACCTCTCCAGGGGTGCGCTCTGACCAGAATTCCGAAGCGAATCCAACGGTGACGACGCGGGCCTCCCAGGAGGCCCCAGGAGGCAAAAACGAGGGAAGGGTAGCGGTATGTGGTGGGCTTGTTTTCCACCACCACCACCATAAGTAGGAGGGGGAGGGGGTCCTCCTCCTCCTCTTCTTCTTCCTCCTCCTCCTCATCCTCCACCTCTTTCCCCCCGCCAACTTATGGTGGTGGTGGTGGTGGAAAACAGGCCCATCAGTATGGGTATCCTGTTCCTCCTCTGAGGTTCACAGGGCGCGGATCCCAGACATTCAACGACCTGAACAGAAATCAGAGTTGGGCGCGAATTTCCCAAATCAGTGCTTGCACTGAAGGGGTCCTAGCGGAACAACCAGATTTGGCGAATATGCTGGTACCAGGCTGGGCTCCCGGGTTCCCGTTTCCAGGTTTTCGTTTATTGGCTCCCCTAACAGGATCCCCTAATTTTTTTGCCGCGCCGGCATTTGAATGCCGCATCCGGCATGTAATGCCGCGCGGCCCAGCATTTCTGAAATGCGATTTCGGGAAATGCCGCGCCCGGCATTTCGATGAACCATTCGGGCCTCTTGGCAACTTAATTATGTAAAGAGGTTGCCAAACCAATTCGTGGAGGCTCTGCCGGCATCACGGGCGGAGCTTTCCCCCATTTGAAGGATCCAGCGTCTTCGGCGCTGGGTCCCTTGCACAACACACTACAAAATCAGCGTTTGGATGCCCCCGCGGCATCATGGGCGGAAGCTTCCGGTATCTTCCGCCCTCTTGGGCGCTGGATCCCTGGTAAAACAATACAAATCCAATGGTCTGATGCCCCCCGGCATCATGGGCGGAAATTTCCGGCATTTGAAGCTTCCGCTCTCTTGGGCGCAGGATCCCTGGTGAAAAGACAATACAATGTCAATGGTTTGATGCCCCCGCGGCATCATGGGCGGAAGGTTCCGGCATTTTAAGCTTCCGCCCTCTTGGGCGCTGGATCCCTTGTGAAAAAGACTACTGCAAAGTCAATGGTTTGATGCCCCCGCGGCATCATGGGCAGATGCTTCCGGCAATTGAAGCTTCCGCCCTCTTGGGCGCTGGATCCCTGGCAAAAAACATAAAATGCAAATTCAATGGTTTGATGCCCCCGCAGCATCATGGGGCGGAAGGTTCCGGCATTTTAAGCTTCCACCCTCTTGGGCGCTGGATCCCGTGTACAAAAATATACAAAGTCAATGGTTTGATGCCCCCGCGGCATCATGGGCGGAAGCTTCCGGCATTTTAAGCTTCCGCCCTCTTGGGCGCTGGATCCCTTGTAATAAAGAATAATGCAAAGTCAATGGTTTAAGTAATGCCCCCGCGGCATCATGGGCGGAAGCTTCCAGCATTTCAAGCTTCCGCCCTCTCGGGCGCTGGAGCCTTTGAAAAAAATAAATGGTTCATATTGTCACGGCATGAAGATCGGTGTCCGGCATTTCGTTGGAGCAGGTTTTGCAAAAATATCGAGCCTGTTTTTTTTCTGCCGCGCAATATCCTGTAGGCTTGGCCGATTTCGGTGGGTTCTGGCCTCGCGGGCTCCCGGGTTCCCGGTCGATCTCCTCAGCGAAAACCATCCACTGATTGGAGTTTTATTATGGTGTGATTGTTTACTGGGGGGGGGGGGGGGGGGGGGGGGGGGGGGGGGGGGGGGGCGATACATAGGGGGTGAAGACAATCAGGTGCCCCTCTCAGGCCCGAGAGGCCCCCCTCTTGGGCGCCCTAAAGGGCGTGTTTACAAAAGGGGCTTCGTTCCTCATTTGACGTTCCATAAAAGGAGACGACAAATGAGGAACGAAAAAAAAAGACGGGCCCCTTTTGTTCCCAAGTAAGTCTCGGAAGTCCGAAGGAACACCATGGGGACTCGCCGCCAAAAAGGTAGCGGACCGCATGCAAACCGAAGGAAAGACCGAGCCCCTTTTGACAAGCAAGTCTTCCTGATTCAAGCCGGATGCTGTACGGGCCCCCTTGGGCCCCTTTGCTGGAGCCCTCGCTGCTCCCCATATCCCTGAGATCCGACGCTGCACACATACAGCATCGCACAAAATCACAACCGGAGCGCCAGACCCCATCTTTCCGCTCCATTCTTCGAGCCAAATCGATCGATATATATATATATATATATATATATGTATATGTATATATACATATATATATATACATATATATATATATATATGTGAAGGTCCCGGGGCCCCCGAGATTGAGCGGAAACGCCTGGCTCGGAAAAATGGAGTCGCCATGATCGCAGGGATCGCCCCCCCCCCCTCTTGCGCGCCCCCCGACTGGGCGGAGGTCTTCCCGCGCCGACTTGGGCCTCCTGAGGGGGGGGCTGGCTATGGGCCTCCCCGCCGCCATGCCGACTCGGCGTGACAAGCTGCCCCCCCGTCCCCCCCTGGGGGAGAGGGTCGAGGAGCCCCCCCTGATAATGATGATGATGATGATGATGATGATGATGCTGCTGCTGCTGATGATGATGATGATGATGATGATGATGATGATGATGCTGATGCTGATGATGATGCTGATGCTGATGCTGATGATGATGCTGCTGCTGCTGATGATGATGATGATGAGAGGAAGAGTAGGAGGAGGAGGAGGAGAAGGATAATCATCATCATCATCATCAGCATCAGCATCAGCATCAGCATCAGCATCATCATCATCATCATGACCCTCTCTCTCTCGCTGTGGAGATCTCACGACGGGAGCCCCAGCTACTGGCGAGGCGGGCGACAGAAGCCCAGACTTCCAGCGATTGAGTCGCCAGGGGGCGAGGCGAGGCGAGGCGCCGGCCTGTCGCCCCAGCAGGCGCGGCCCCACGAGAGCCCGGCGGTGGCGCCAGAACACCATGAGGTACGCCTATACTGGACACGCGCGCTCCACGACTCACAAACTAACGCATCGCGAGTGGCCTGGATCCGCCGCAGGAGGTTCGCGATTCATCACATCGAGGAGGGCAAGTGCTTGTTGTTTTTTGGTCGGATGTTTGCGAGTAGGCACCTTTGCGAGTAGTGGAACGCCTCCTCCTCCTCCTACTCCTCCTCCTCCTCCTCCTACTCCTCCTCCTCGTCCTCCTCCTGGGTGAGGCCGGCCAACCGCTCCTCTGTAGGCACACGAGGGTAGGAACCAGAGGGTACCGGAGTTGGAGGACACGGCGCGCCGACTCGCAGGGGGAGAGGGGCGCAGGCATGTGTTCCTCCATATGCGTATGCATCAGTGCGCATACATCCTTGTTCGTGCAAGTGCCTCTTCTTCGTCTGCCTTTCCACGCGCGCGTATTCGTGTAAGGGGCCCTGTTTTTTTTTGGTGCTGCCCCGTGAATCCCCCGAACCCCCTAGAAATCCTTCTGCGACGGAAGCCGACAGCATCTTAGCCCTCTTTGGGGGCGAGCGAGGGGGGGAGAAAGAGAAGGAGAAGACCTTCTCAGAAGGCGGCGGGACATCTCAGAAGCCCTGCCGCCTTCTGACAGGTGTTTGCGTGTCTTCGGGGAAGGCTTCGAAAACTTCTCAGAAGGCCAGGAGACTTCCGAACCTTCTGAGAAGGCCTTCTCCGTCTCCATTCCCTCCGTCGCTCGCCGCCGACCTCGTCTTCAGGACCTGTTTCCGCCGTGCCAAGAGAGGCGCCACCTCGGAGGGCGGGGGAAGGACGCGGAGGCGGAGGACGCTGCTGCGAGGGGAGGGTGAGCCCGGGAAGCGGGAGAGGGGAGGACGAGAATGGGGTGCAGTCGGCAGGGCGAGGAGGAGGCTGCTGCGAAGCGACACATAATCAGGGGAAGCACAAGGAGGAGAAGGAGGAAGAGGAGGAGGAGGAGGAGGAGGAAGAGGGGGAGGAGGAGGAGCAGGAGGAGGAGGAGGAGGAGAAGGCGGAGGAGGATGGGGAGGAGGAGGAGGAGGAGATGAGTAAGTATTAAAACAAAAGGATGAGGAGGAGGAGCAAGGAGGGATGATGAGGAGGGGGAGGGGGAGGAGTAGTAGGAGACGGAGGATGAGTATAGGTGGGAGAGGGTGGGGGGGAGGGAGGGTAAGTAGTTGCCACCGGAAGAGAATATAACCGACGATCAAAAGCTGGCGTAGTACTACAAACACCAATTACAAGCGAAAGACTTCAGCTAGAGGTGAACCAGCGAGACCTCACGCAGCTCGGGGCATTACTTTGGGTGGTCCGCCAGCGCGCACTAATAATTTTTTGTGGGACAGTCTTAACGCGCGAGCTCAAGGAGACGGGCAGCGTTCTGCCAACGCGGGCCGCAGAAAGAGCAACCGCTCGTTTGCGTCGCCCAGGCGAAGGACGACGAGGAGGAGCAGGAGGATTCGGGGTCCACCAAAGGGGGGGGACCCTGAGGTGGGGAGTGAGTTCGATCCGCTGGTGCATCGACTTTCCGAAAACCATGCCCCCCGCGCGCCCCGATTGTCGACGCCTATCGGGTTCCAGCGGCGGCTGGAGACCTCGTTTTGCATAGTTTTCACGGTTCGATGCGCCAGCGGTCCGAACTCACCCCCGTCCTGTGGCACCCCCCCTTGCGAGGTCCCGAGACAACACCGCTTGTTTGCGTCGCCCAGGTGAAGGACGACGATGAGGAGCAGGAAGATAAGGTAGGGAAACCAAAAAAAGGTACCAATACCGCTACTCCCCGGACCTCTCCCAGGGTGCGCTGACCAGGATCTCGAGGCGAATCCAGCGGTGGCGACGAGGGCCTCCCAGGAGGCCCCAACTGGGGAAAGCGAGGGGAGGGTACAGGTATGGGTACTTTTCTTCCTTCGAGAACCCAGACCCCCGACCCCCGCCCCGGGCCGGCTTTCCATCCCGAGCTGATTGCCGACGGCCCCAAGACCCTGTGAGGACACCCAGAGGCCGACAACCCGTCGTGATTCTTTCACGACTCAGAGGATTGAGCAGGGACGGACCGCCCTGGCATTCCTATAGGCCTACCAAGTTCTTAGAACCCAGAAATGTTTCAAAAACAAAAACAATGCTCTTAGAGCATATACCCGATGAGTTAAAACAAAACAGACCCCCAGCCAGAAATGTTCTAAGACCATCCCGTGCGAACCACAAAAGGTTATGAGAACATTCTTTCGTAGGCCCATGGGCACGCCAGGACGCTTCGCCCTGCTTGGCTCCTGTGGTTGGCCCCCCTGGCCTTCGGGGCAGAAGCTCGGCTCTCGGACGGCCGCTCGGAGGGAGGACAGTAGCTCTTCCTCGACTGCACCCCGAAGAGGCCGCGTGGGCGGGCGCCTCGCGGCGGGGAGCCGCCCGGCAGGGGCGACGGGGGCCGCAGCTCGGGGGCCGCCCTGGCCGCCTCCCGCGGCGGGAGTGGGGAGGGAGGGAGGGAGGGAGGGAGGGAGGGAGGCAGGGAGGGATGGGAGTGGAGGGAGGAGGAGGGGAGGGGCTAGGAAGGAGGAGGAGGAGGAGGAGGAGGGAGGAGGGGGAAGGAGGAGGGGGGGAGGAGGGGGAGGGGAGGAGGAGGAGGAGAGAGGAGGAGGGCGGAGAGGAGAGGAGAGGAAGGAGGAGAGTGGGAATGTAGTAAGTAAGTAGTAGTAGTAGTAGTAGCCAGTAGTAGTAGTAGTTAGTAGTTAGTAGTGTTAGTAGTTAGTAGTTAGTAGTTGGTAGTTAGTAGTTAGTTAGTTAGTTAGTAGTGTTAGTAAGTTTAGTAGTAAGTAAGTTTGTAGTTAAGTAGTTAGTAGTTAGTAGTTCGTAGTAGTAGTAGTAATAGTAGTAAGTAAGTAGTAGTAGTAGTATTAGTAGTAGTAGTAGTGGTGTAGTGGTAGTAGTAGTATATAGTAGTATATAGTAGTAGTAGTAGTATTAAGTAGTAGTTGTAGAGTAGTAGTGTAGCAGTAGTAGTAGGAGTAAGTAGTAGTTAGTAGTAGTTAGTAGTAGTAGTAGTAAGTAGTCTAGTAGTAGTATGAAGTAGTAAGTAGTAGTAGTAATAGTATTAGTATTGTAGTACTAATATAGTTTTTTTTTGTAATAAAAGTACTAGTAGTAGTAGTAGTAGTAGTAGTAGTAGCAGTAGTAGTAGTAGTAGTAGTAGTAGTAGTGGTGGTAGTAGTAGTAGTAGTAGTAGTAGTTAGTGTAAGTGTAAGTGTAAGTGTAAGTGTAAGTGTAAGTGTTAGTAGTAGTAGTAGTAGTAGTAGTAGTAGTAGTAGTAGTTAGTGTTAGTGTTAGTAGTAGTAGTAGTAGTAGTAATAGTTGTTGCAGTTGTAGTAGTAGTGGTAGTAGTGGCAGTAGTGGCAGTAGTAGCAGTAGTAGTAGTAGTCGTCGTCGTCGTCGTCGTCGTCGTGGTCGTCGTCGTCGTCGTCGTCGTCGTCGTCGTCGTCGTCGTCGTCGTCGTCGTCGTC